GTTATGGAAGCAACACATTAACAAGAGAATTCTGAGTAAAACCAAAGTTACTTTCCCTAGTAACTAGTTACTTTGAAAGTAATGAGTAACTTGAAGTAACTGAGTTACTTTTGAGAGAAGTAACTAGTAATGTAACTAAGTTACTATTTTAAAGTAACTTACCCAACACTGGTCTTAATCAATAAATTAGAATTTTTATGTTGCAGCCATGGATTTAATCAAGTGGAGGTAAAAGGCCTGGTTACCTTTTAGAGTGCAGCTTTCTCCAACTTAATGAAGTGAAAAAAGAAGTCATTGTTTGTGTTTGTGCCACTGACAGATTCGTGCCTACCGTGGGTGACTTTTGACTCGGCACATCTTCAGGTTGTTCAGAGTGCCTCTAAATGATACATTCTACATAAATGGGATGGCTGTGTCTCAGGAGATTTGGGCAGGTCATCTACTAATGGCAAGGTTGGAGGTTTGATCATATGTAAGTGGCAAGACTTGGTTAACATACAGTTAACATTTCTGAGTAAAATCCTGAAATAATAGATGGAAATAGTAGAAACAGACATTTTACCAGGTACACTCTGCTTTGAGTCTTACACGTGTGAGGCCTTAACGCCGCGGTGGAAACCGGACATTTGGACCCATCTGACGCGCCTTGTTATGTAACGGTGACCATCTGTGCCCGCTGTGTGGCTGTCTGCTACACGCGCGTGTCCGCCGAGCAGTCCGCGCGCGGGACACGTGAGTGTGCATGTAGAGCACAGCAGCATCCTGCCAGCTGCCCAAAGACGGACGCCAGAGCGGGAAGCGCGCAGATGATCTGAACTAAGCGGTACGTACTTCCTATGTGACTGCGTGCGTTTAGCTGTACCAGCAGGTCGGTGCAGGATGCAGCCTGGATGGGTGTGGATCTGTGTTTGACGGGTTGACACAGTCCCTGTAAGTAGCACCCTGCTTTTATTATTATGCATCCCGAATGGTTATATAGCGCATTATTGCCCAGTGTTACAAAGCCCTCAGGTGCCTGCGTCCCTCCGTACAGCTGAGCAGGATGGGTGTTGTCCTCTTTAAGCTCCCGTGACACTGAGACGTTTCAGCGGTCGATATTAAAGTGATTCCAAAAGCTTTTGGACACGCTGTGATAAAAACAGCACGGAGCATTTTCACCGTTTTGATTTCTGTGTGTAGCGCGGACACAGCAGCGCGCTGTGCGGGATCCAGCTTCATTTGTAAAGCACTGCAGCAAAAAGCCACTTAAATGTATTGTAAGACAAATAATCGCTGGATTACTGTGTTGTAATTGTTACTGATGATCTTGGAATTAGAAGAAAGCCTCTAATAATTTAATGGGCAGGCTACAATATCGAGTAATCATCATTCAACTCATTTCAGTTGAATTTCTTGAATTTTACTAATTTTTTAAAAGAATATTTTCTCATTTATTTAATTTAAATAGGGAAGCTTTACATAGTAGAAGAGAGGAGATATCAGTGCTGGTAATCAGACCACACAACAGTGAAAACCTGTGGCAGCAAAGAGTTTTCATCATGTGCAATAAAAAACAAAAACGCCTATGTGACAGTGAAATAGCAACAAATACATGGATCATATTTATTTTTTTACTAGCAGTGAAATAAGACAACCCATGACCTGTGATGCTGACAGCTCACCTGTCTGTGGGCCAGAACAGCACACAGTGTCATGTGCTGTGCATGTCTCCATGTTGTGTGTTTATCTGACTCTGTAGAAAAACTACTGAAAGCAACAGCAAACTTTTGTGCGCGCTTGTTCTTGTTCCCCTCTCTGCCCATGGCTCCAGGGCTCGTCCTGTGGCTCTTTTCTGTCACCAGTTTTATCTCTGCACATACTTTTCCTTTACAAGGCTGTTGCTTTGTGCTGAAATTAGAAATTGATCAAAATGAACTTTGGCTCCTGCTCCTTAGTTCTCCAGATCAGACCAGCTGCAGGTCATAAAGGAGAGCCTGGTCAGTTTGCAGTGACTGAGCTTTAAAAATCAGAGTGGCAGTTGTACTCTATCCAAATAATCAATTTGTGGTCTCGGACTGATGAAAAAAAAAATCAGTGACAGATTATATTTGACTGGTATTCATATCCAAGGGATATAATAGACTAAAGTAAAAATGGGACAACAGGACAAAGAAGGACGTGGAGGAAGACACCATGTGATATCGGTCTGTACTGTCCATCTCCACCACAGAGCTGTGACACCGTGCTCTGTCTCCCTGTGCTCTCACACTCAGGTCAGTGATGACAGTACTCGGGTTTTGTCTAACCTAAATCCTAACCACATCACCATGGCAACAGGAAGAAAAGGTGAGTGTGATGCTGCTTGTGTGTTTATGAATGCTACTTGTGACTGGCCTTTATTTGAAACCACCAGGGGGCGCTGTATCCCGTTTCGTGATAAAGTGGCAAGTAGTACAGGTACAGGTGATTTGAATGAGCAGAGGGCCTGGCAAATGCAGAAAGCACATGATATTTTCTCACTGTGCTTTTAACGGCTCTGTTTGTGTTTGTTGTTTTTTTCCTGTATGTTTCTAAAAATATGTGTCTGCACTGAAAATGAGCACCAAAAACAATCCAGCTCATCAAAATGTTCTGACTGCGTTATGCCATGTAGTTTACATTCTCTCTGCTGTAACCCATCCAACACTGAAGTTTTAGCATCAGTGAATCACAATGACGGGGTCCTTTGGTCCGTCTGTCGCTTGTGTTGTTTTGGTCACAGATTCTCATCAGCCTCGCACCTTCTGCTCGTCTTTGCAATCTAAGAGCAGGAGAATCTAAATCACCTACCTTCTGATTTGTCGATGGTCTGCTGAGCCACAGCTGCTACCAGCTGTTCTCTGAGTGCTTAAGCAGAGTAGAAAAGTACCACATGACAATCGGTGTGTGTCCTATGGAGCTACAACCGATTTGGAAGCATTTTTCATATTGATTCACAAACTGTAGAGAAAGCTGTAATGTCTAACTGAGACACACATGGGAATATCACATCGTGTCTGTGCTGCATCGTTCTGCAGCTGATGAGTTGCAGTTGGTGCTGTGCTGTAGGAAGCACTGGTCCAGCACATAGTCCATCCAGATGTTTCTTTGAAGCAGCTGTTGCTGTGAGTCGCCACTGTATAAAATGGAACTGAATTGTTTTACTACAATTTTTTAGGTTGTTTTGACTCAACTGGCCCACAGCACAAAAGTCAGTAACACACCTCCTCACCCACATCAAACAATCTTATTGTCTTCACACACACCTTTGCTGTCTCTACACGTGCTTCACTACTAAAGATTTTCATTTGCTACTGTGTTGATGCACTTCTCACTTAAGCATTTTGTACTTTTGTCAGCCACAGCTCCAGATCGCTCACTTTCCTGAATACAGTCCAGCATTGCATTTATGCTTTCAATCAAATTCCTGCTCATCCAAATTTCCCTTTCATGCACATCCCAAGGATGCTGTGCTGGACTGAAATCTGGTGACTGTTGAGGCTGTTGGAGTCCGTCTCCTCTTGTCTAACCTTGGTGATAGCAGACATGATTATGCAGGATAAACCCAGCCCATCGACAATGTCTGAAATACTCACAGCAGCCCGCCTGACATCATGAACTATGCCACGTTCATCTTTCTTACTTTGATGCTCAGTTTGAGCTCCAGCAGGCCGTCCTGTCTAAATGCTTTAAATTCCTGCTGATGTCAAAGGCTGATTAGATGTTTGGATTGCTGTGATGAGCAGTGGAACAGGTGTACCTAATAATGTGACAGTACAGTAGTTGGTGTTATGCTCTCAGATTGTATCGGTTTGCTGTTCTCCATCTCAGCAAACACGTTGACAGCAGTTGTGTTCATTTCTACGGTTGCCGTGGTTTGATGTTACCGGTCTGTCCCCAGGCTCTACGTCCAAAGCAGGTGGGGTGCGTTTCCCTGACGATGACGAGCCCCCTGGCTCTCCAACACGGAGAGATGACCAGTCGAACGTCGCTACGCTCATTGCTGTCTCAGAGAAGGATGGCAGCTACTTGGTGAAGGTGTGTCTGCACACCGTCAAACGAACACAGTTGTTCGTCATGATTTCATCATTGTAAGCGATTTTTCAGGTGAAGTGTTGATAAAATGACCACAAGGTGTTTTCATGAATGAGCAGAGAAAGTCTCCTGGTTTACGATTTGATTGATTTCCATGTTCATGGATGTTTCATCCGGATACATTTGTAAAATGTAAAGTCCGGCTGAGGAATGGTGGAACAACAAAACAACATTAAACTGAGCCATGAAAATGTGACACCACGGGCTGTGTTAGCCCACATCCTCCTGAGCTATTTGATCCATGTTTTCTACTCTTTGCCTCTAACACGTCGCTCCTCTGTCAAGGCTGGTTTCCTGAAGAGCCACCACTGTTATGAGATTGTCTTCACTGTCCCAGATGTCCCCACACTGGGCAAAGAGCTCTCATGTCTTCCCTCCTCTTCTCCATCTCGGAGGTCGCCCAGCCTGCGGGTCCAGCGTATTAACTCCACACTGGAGGGTAAGTATAGGTGTACAGGCATACTTCAGGACATGCTTGCACATATGTCTAACCTGCAGTGTTGTGGAGCAGACTGTTGCTGCACAGAGCAGGTGACCATGGTGGGTTAGGTTCTCTGCCCAGCAGTAAGTCTGTAGGTTCTCAGTAATCCAGGTCATGCTAGTCTAAGGAGCTCCTTAGACTCTGTCCACCAGCGTCCTCACTTGTGCTAAAGCATATAGTTAGGGCTGGACCAGGTGACCCTGAATCCTCCCTTAGTTATGCTGCAATGCTGCCGGGGGATTCCCATGATGCATTGAGTTTTTCCTTTCCAGTCACCTTTCTCACTCACTATGTGTTAACAGACCTCTCTGCATTAAATCATATCTGTTATTAATCTCTGTCTCTCTTCCACAGCATGTCTTTATCCTGTCTTACTTCTCTCAGCCCAACCGGTCGCAGCAGATGGCCCCGCCCCTCCCTGAGCCTGGTTCTGTCAGAGGTTTCTTCCTGTTAAAAGGGAGTTTTTCCTTCCCACTGTCGCCAAAGTGCTGCTCATAGGGGGTCATATGATTGTTGGGTTTTATGAAGCGCCTTGAGGCGACTTATGTTGTGATTTGGCGCTATATAAATAAAATTGAATTGAATTGAATATTACTTTTTGGGACTAATGTTTCTGTGGAATCTTTTCACACGAGCACAACACAAGTCTGTAACCAAGAAATGTATTTTGAAATTCAAATTTATATATCACCAAATCACGACAGTTGCCTCAAGGTGCTTTATATTATAAGGTAAAGACCCCACAATAATCATATGACCCCCTATGAGCAAGCACTTTGGTGACAGTGGGAAGGAAAAACTCCCTTTTAACAGGAAGAAACCTCCGACAGCACCAGGCTCAGGGAGGGGCGGGGCCATCTGCTGCGACCGATTGGGGTTAGGGGAGAAAGACATCCTAAGGAAAATGTATATGCATGGTCACATTTCCCAACACCAGGAAGTGAAAACCTAAAAACGAAACCAAAATATGGCGTTAGTGTCAACTGTCTGTGGCAGCGTCTGCGTCTCTGTGCTGAGAATATTGGTAACACCTCGCTATTTTTGAAAGTACGAACCTAAATTAAAACCCTGAGTAACTGAATGATTGTATTACATTACACTGATTAGCCCGTGTGAATAAACTGAGCATAAGCCATCTTGGGTTAAAAGCAATCCTGGAAGCCTACGTAGAACAAAACTCGAGTCTGCCTCGTGTCAGCAGGCCCAGTATTTGAGCTCTCGTCTGTAATAGTATGCCAAAGCTCAGCTCTCCATACAGCTGTGACACTGTCTCTGCCCGACCCAAGCATCTCAGTACCGCAATAACAGATCTCTGCTCTCGAGCAGGTTTGAGATCAAGAGTCAGCTGACTGCTGTTGCCAGTGTCTCAGCAGAAACAGCTGGATTCATCTCTCTAGCACCTCAACACCTCCCAGGCTTGGTTTAGCACTAAGGAGCTAAACCAAACAAACCAGTCAGCTCTCCTTCATTGCAGCTGCATGGATCTAGTCTTCAAAGGAACAGCCACAAAAAAATAAATCAACCACATTCCTGAATTTCCCCGTCCAGGAACAGCTTCAATGTCCTGGATAAGCAAGAACTGGGTTGTAATTAGAGGGGAAGATACCAACACATGAGTTCACTGGAGTGTGGACGTTCAACCCACTGTCACAGCAAAGTGTGTAATAGACATGCCGGTCCACAGTGTCCAAAATGGCTACCCTGGATGAATAAAGACATTTTCAATCATAAAAGACAAGAGGGAGGGTAAGGAGAAGAGTGTTCCGCTACAATAACAAGAAATGAAAGCACTGATGGCTTTCAGTGAACAGACTGAGTCTCTGAGGACAAGCTTTAAAGATCTGTGGTGCAACAAAAACGTTCTTCAAGCTTTGGATGTCACTGTTTGTTTCTGCACTTACCAACTGTCTGTCCTCTGGCTGTGTCCCAGAATACTTCAGCTTTTGTGCAACCACACCTAAAAAAAAACAGACGGCCGTCGAGCCGAATACCAATCTCAAAGTTTCCTTTTATAGCAAAACGTTTGAAGAAGACTGTCTACAACTTATTTAAGCATTACATTAGAACATCGTCACTCAGGGTTAAGATGGCATCAGAGTTACTGAGTCTGTGCTTGTTAGAGTTAGGAGTGCTGAATGTTCTGTTCTTTGCTGCTTGAGGTAAATGCAGTCTTTGATACATTAGACATAGATATGCCGCAGCACAGGGTTGGTACACCTGGGGCTAAAGTATTCCTTTAACTGCATTGATGATGTTTCTAAAGTTCATTGGACTCAGCGTGGTGCAGACTGCGTATGAATAACTTGTCTCCTTCCTCACTCCCTCGTTCTCTTTAGGAGGTGTAAAGGTAACATGTGAATACAGAACTCACCAGGAGGGGGTGCAACAGGAGGAGATCACCATGGTAACCAGAGGGAGAAAAGACAGCAGTCTAAAGGTCAGACTCCAGGCCAGGGTCATTGGTAGGTGCTTGTGCACCGACAGATACACACACATACGCGCGCACAGACAGAGTAAACAGGTCCTAATCATACAGGACTGCATCTTTATTACCTTGTTGACTGTACACAGATCAAACACAGTTCAACAGGACACAGTGCAGCACAGTGAAACATTATAGTATGAGTATTATGCTTCAGTACATCTGGAACTGAGATTCTTGTTAAGGTGGAAGGAGTCCTGAAGAAAGGATATGTGGAGATTTTAACCCTTTAAAACCGGTCAGAGCAGCACGCTCCGTTTTGCGTAACTATTTTTAAATCCCGGTAGCACTGCAACCACGTGAGCTAGCGCAAAATTTTTTTTTGCATATGAAACCGGAGGAGTTGTACTTACATCTTATGCCATCAGCTTGTCTTCGGTCACAGTTTCCTTCCACATAAAGCTTTGCAAAAACTGCATAAAAAGCGCTTGCAGCAACAAAAACATAATATTCCAGAAACACACTTTGCCGATCCGATCAGCTGTTCATAACACTTCCTCCGTCCATCAGCGCGAACTATCGCATGTCCGCCATGTTCTGCCCGAAATTGGAAGTGACGTCATTTTCGCGGAAATGTAGTTTTTTACCACCAGTGACCGCTGCGAATGGGCAGCTGAGAATCAGGGAAAGACCAGATGACAGCCTGGAAAGACTGCTGACAGGAGGGAATAGACCCTAATGGGGCTGGTGTGGGTTAGTGCCTCATACCAGCAGGACCCAGCGTTTTTTAGCGTACCTGGGTACACCCATTATTGCTACAGAAGTCTCAAAAGAGAAGGGTCTGCGAGAGCAGGGGTGAAAGAAGACCCTTTCCGGATGGATTTAATGGCAACGAACCACGGAACGGTACCACCGATGAATAGATCAACCAGCATTGCAAATAATGGACCATCAATGATGGTAGGAAAGAAGCTGCAGGACTGCATTTGTGGCTGGCCAAAACTAACAACTGACATGGGCCTTGAAATATTAGATTCTAGCTCTAGCTTAATATCAGCCGCTAGCTTGGAGTTTAGCCACCAACAGCTAGCAACACATTTCCAAGCCAGCCACAATCAACACCATCAACCAGCCCAGAGCTCATTCAGAAACAGCTAACAGAGTCTTCCAACACTGAGTCTAGCCAACCACTACCAGCAAGGGAAAGGAAGATGGAAGGTAGGAAAGATCAGATTCTGTGGCCCAGATCCAGTGAGAAAAGAGAGTGGGTCTGGCTCTTATACTAGATCAACAAAAGGGTCCAGTTGAAAGGAAGCTGGAGAACCTGGGAACCATCATCTACAGCTATGGGGCTGAGCGATGTGGGGTAAAGAACAAGACTCAGAGCAGAAAGGCCATTTCAACCAGTTAAATTCCAGGAGACAGCAGGAAATTGATAGAGGCATGAACCAGTTATCATTCCGACTGATATGCCACCTATCCAGGCACCTGAACACCAAATGGACATAAGACCACCAACATGGAGTGAAGTGGAGAAGGTAGTGAAGCAGGCAAGAGCAGCATCGGCCCCAGGACCTAATGGCATCTCATATAGGCTCTACAAAAACACCCCACGAGTCCTCAAATACCTGTGGACGCTGATAAAGGTAGCGTGGCAGAAAGGAGTGATTCCAAAGGCTTGGAGAAGAGAAAGAGGTATTCTGATCCCTAAGGAGAAGAACTCCTCATCCATCAGACAGTTTCGCCAGATCAGCCTGCTGAACGTAGAGGGAAAAATCTCCTTCAGTGTCTTGGCCCAAAGACTATCTGCTTTCCTGCAAAGAAACAACTATATTGACACATCAGTGCAGAAGGCGGGGCTTCTCTGGATGTCTGGAGCATGCCAGCGTCATCTGGCACCAGATTCAAACTGCTGAGAAAGAACAAAGAGACCATCACGTGGTCTTTTTAGACCTTGCCAACGCCTTTTGGTCAGTTCTGCATTAGATCTTGTGGATGGCCTTCAACTATTTCAGCGTACCAAACCACATCACAGGACTGGTCAAGACCCACTTTAAGGATTTACAGTTTTGTGTGACAGCTGAGAACACCACCACAGCCTGGCAACACCTGGGAATTGGAGTAATGGCAGGCTGCACGATTTCCCCTCTGGCATTTATCACGGCAATGGAGTTGGTCATGAGGGCATTCCAGTGGGTAGTGGGAGGTGAGAGACTCAAGAGTGGCCTTCGTCTTCCTCCCATTAGAGCCTACATGGATGGTCATCTAAATTACACCAGGGCCTGTGCTGCCGGCTTAGGCCATCCGCACCACACCAGTAACCCAAGAAACCCAAAGCAGGCTCGAGCACCAACAGAGAGGTCATTATTGGCTGCTTCTGTTTTTTTTTTTAAAGTTTATTATTGGTTGTTAATTTAAAAAGTGAGGTTAGAGGAACAGAAGACGCAGCCACACTATGACGAAAGAAGGAAAAACAGAAAGTAAGGCTGTAAACACGACTTCCTCCCGTCACCTAGCATTGGCTGATGGTTCGATTCTCCATCAAGTGTGGTGGCGTGGACCAAGAGAGAACACAGGATCACGAGGAGGTGGGGCTACCCGCATCAATGCTCCCAGTCGCCTGCTGCTACATCACCATCTCCCAGGAAACACAGGTGATCGGACTGTTCGTCACCACACCCAAGACCCCCGCCTTGTGCTGTGCCTCCTCAGTCAGTGGGGTCATCCCAGTGGGGCTGCTTATCAAAGAAGAAGCTGGACTACCAGGTGCTGCAGTCCTGGATGTGAGGGATGACTTCACCACATGAGCTGCTGCTGCACGTAGAGCTGATGCACCTTTGATAGTAGTTGGTGGCCGCCACGAGAGACCCTCCTGCTGGCAGCCCAACAATGGCAGCCATTGTTGGGCTGCTGGTCACTGCACACTGTGCTGATGGAACCCTTGTGTGGACCCAGACATGCTTAATGTTCGGGAGTACTCACTTCGATCAGTTGGCGAGGCTGGGGGAGCGAACGTTAGGCAACGGGGCCCACTTGAAAAGAAGTTTTGGGTAAATGTGTGTCACAAAACAGCTGTGTGCAAGCAGGAGAAGGACCCAAACGCAAACTCACCAGAGCGGGAACTTAACTAAAAAATGCAGCTTTAATTGCTGAACAGAAATAAAGGTGATACAAAACATTGCAAACTAAACTGGGAAAAACTAATACACGAGGAGACTCGGGGAGAATCACACACAGCTATGAGGGAGGACGTGACACTAACAAAGAGAAACACAAGGCTTAAATACACTGAAGGATAACGAGGGTAATGAGACACAGAAGGAGAGCACAGCTGGGAGTAATTAGACTGAACTAGACAAGGGAAGCAAAACTAGAAACACTGACATGAGACACAGACCTTCAACGTGAAACAGGAAACACACTGACTGAACTCAAGACATGTAAACTTAACAGACTGGGGAGACAGAACATAGAGACCTGAAACATGGGGCAGAAAGGCACAGTAGACACAACATGGAACATAGGGAAGCCATCACACAAAACCTAAGAACTAAACCCAAATTTCCCATGTGTGGGACTAATAAAGCTTATCTTATCTTATCTTATCTTATCTTATCTTATCTTATCTTATCTTATCTTATCTTATCTTATCTTATCTTATCTTGACAACCATAACTGAAACCTAGGGAAATGACAATAATCAAAACCGTACAACCAAGGACTTAGAACATAAACCATAATATAAAAATACAAGAACTCAAACTGGACCGTGACAATGTGACCCTCCAATGTTCGAGTGAGTTTCAGTGACGCTGTGGTATCTTTCTTTTTTCAGGCTGCACTCAACTTTATTTTGTTTGCAGTGAAGTGAGAGAGGTTAAGAAAAGCCAGTGGCAGCGCCACCTTCAGGCTTAATGGTGCAAACACGCATTACAAATGTTAAAAACATTGCTTCCTGGCGTTCACCTGATGTCAGCGGAGAATCCAGTGCTATTCGTTACCTGTCTGGTAGTTTCGGAAGGAGGACGTTATCAAGAAACTGATCAATTTTTTGATGGGTTTATCTGTGGAAAATACAGACTGTTTATTCTTTCAGGGTCATATATTATGTTCCCAGATAAATCTTTAACAGCACATATAGTTCTTTTTTCTTTCTTTCTTTTTTAACTGGTTAGCTAAGAATTGACCGGATTTGTTACCGTATTCAAAAGTTTGCAAGCCAAGTCTTTGTACTAAGAATTGAGTTTTTTTAATTAATAATTTCATTTAATTCTAGTTTTGTTTTGCGTATTTTGTTAATTATTTCCTGATCTTGCTGGGACACATAATCCTCTTATAAGGATTAGATTTTTTTTCCAAGTTCCTGAATATTTTTGTTTTCTTCTTCTACCCTCTGTGTCTATAACCATGTTGAGTACTATAAAATTAACATTTCTATGCGTTAAAATTGCTGCTCCCCTTTGTCTAGAGTTATAGCAGGCTGAGAACACGTGTGTGCAGCTGTGACCTTAGCGTGCCCATAGTCATGTGTGTATGGCTAATGTCGCTTACATGGGTGTGGAAATAGTTATGGCATCACCTTGAATCGACTAACTGATATTAATAAGTTAAACAGATGTTAACGCAAGAGGATGAGAAAGAAAAAAGGATTCTTATCTGGAGTGATGTTACAGTCCCGATCAAAAGTTTAAGACCACCTGAAAAATGACACAAAATCATATTTTTGCATGTTTGGATCTTAACAAGGTTCCCAGTAGCTTCAACATGGAACAAGGAGAAATGGGAGTGAGACAAAATCATTTTCTGATCATGCAGTTTAATGAAAACAACGTTTAAACTGAAACAGGCTGTTTTACAGCTGATCAAAAGTTTAAGACCACACCTCCAAAATAACCTGTAAACCCCCAAAACAGAAATCAAAGTTCCAAACATGAACTCAGTGATGAAGACCTCCACTGTTATTCTGCCTCTAAACATCATTATCAGTCCTTCATGCTGCTGAGTAACATTCAGTATTTATTATTTACTGTTACTGATGCTGATGTTGGCTGTTGCCGTGGTTTCCTGCTGTGTTGTTTTCTTTTGCTTGTTTTTTTTCAGCAGGTCTTTTCTCTCCGTCTCTCTTCTCATCTGTTTTTCTTTCCTTCTCCTTCTGTTGAGTCTCTTCACAACTTCTCTTGTCCTTGTCTTTCCCGTCCTGTGGTGCTGTCCGTTCTGATTGTAACAACTTAAAAATATAATAGATAAATAAGTAAAGATTGAATAAACCATCATAATCTATTGGACCCACATACCAAAAGCTCTAATGATCCATTTGGGAAAATAAATCTTTAGCATTGCTACAGCGCTGGACAGGACAGACAAAAAAAGAAAAAAGAAAGAGCTCATTAAGTTGTCATAAAGAAAAGAAACCATTTTTCTGCTACTAAGAGCTAAAGTTATTTCAGTAACTACAGCCTGCTTGGCTACGCTGTCTAAGCATTTCATGGAATGTCACATAGTTTTTCCCTGCCGGCATCTCTCCATCTACTCTGACATCTTCCCCTTTTATCCTCTGTCCAGACCCACATCACGGCACCCCCATGCTGCTGGAGGGGGTGAGGTGTCTCGGTGCCAGGAAAGATGCCCACACAAAGCACAGCAGTGATCGTAAGAAGATATGAAGAGTGTCACTCCTGATCATACTCAGTGACTGGGTCAGGGTGCAGTACAGAGAGAAACATGGATCCATACATAATAAGTAGAATTCATCTGAAGGACAAACAAACTGCCCTGAAAATCACATCACAGTCACAGTCATGCAATTACATTTACACGAGGCTGCCATAGAGCCATAATGCCTCTGCTGCTGGGGCCAGTCAAACCAGTGTTACAGCACACGCACACACACACACACACACACACACACACACACACACACACACACACACACACACACACACACACACACAC